CAAGTAAATTAGCATCTTTAAGTATAATAATTATGTAGAAATATATATTTGATGCCATCTGAAGCATACACTACTACAGATATCTATGATGATTTAATTTCTCGAAGAGTTCACTCGAGTGACGCCGAGAAATTTGCTGAAATTTGTCCTTGCCCTTGTAATGGTGTTGCATGGGGAGTTATTTGGTAAGTTTTGTTGATAGACAAACTTATCCAGAAATATCATTTTTAATTTTTCTGTCATGTATATTTTCCTCAATTATTCAGGATGATCATTCTTGATTTGGTTTGTAGGGGTCTAATATCATTTACATTCCTTTGTGGATCCATTTACCTTGGTCTTGTTATTCTCTCTTAAGGTATTCTTTTTTCCATTCCAATGTATTTTTTCACCCTTTCCTTTCATTATTCTGTTTTGCCAAATTTTTTAGATACTGTTAGAACTCATCGAGCGGTCCGCTTTGACTAATGAGAATTTTGCAAAGAGAACCTTGCACCCATGTGAAAGATGGATACTTTTATATACTTCATAGTGATATACAATTTAACTGCTCTCCATAGTAGATTTCAAAACTCTTAATAACTTAGATTAGAGACGTATTCCCTTGGCATGCAGAATGGTATATTTTCTGTTAGCTTCAGAATTTTCTGAAAGGTTATCATGCAGTGCTTCTGCAGTATAGTAACTGAAGAAAATTGAGAAAAAAAAAAAAGAAGTGAAGTGGATTTCTATAGATTTCTGCAAAGCAACAATTTGGTGACTATCCTCTCCTTGGTTCCCCAGGTTTATAAAGGACTAATCAGTTTTAGTTGAAAGCATGAAAGAGACAAAAGGGATAAAATGTTATGGTCTTCAAGGGAATGACTAAGATGTGCAAAGCTGTAGGTTCTATGCCATGCATAGTCGAAAGAAAGGTCTACCACTTCTGTACATATAACATGGGCTTTAGTATCTGCTGAAAGTCGAACATCAAAATGGCAACACTTTGGGCTTCTGCATACTGCTTTTAACTCTGTTGAGATTGTATTATTATTTTCTTCAGTTGATGGATTTTATTATATATCATCTAACACTTTAGGTGCTTTGTCTTTTTGTTTCCTATTGGATGTGTCATTCCAGTTTGATATCTCACAATTTTCTTAACATCAATGCTCAATCTTTATGTTAGTCCTCTTCCTACAACAGTTGCTATTTTAATTTTTTCCCCAATATCTTGATATTACACCGGAAAGAACAAAGACCATGATATTAGATAAAAGAAGTTCTAAATACACTCAGCAATTTTATCTAGCCAGAGTAAATTTATCATATGAATCAGTAGAATGCCCTTTAAATGTGTACCTATATTATATAATCATATTATAGTTCTTGTATATCAGCATTGCTTAGGCGTAAATAACTTGCAACATTTTTTCCTTTTCTCCATCATTTGATTTCCAAAATGTTTGGTTGAAGGTGTTATTATGCTACATGTGTAAATTACCAAAGTTATAGTCTTATACACAGACAGTTCTAATAAGTAGGGGAGCTTTGAGGTTAATCTTTGTTCTTGGTGGATCCAATAAGATTTTTCTTCTTCACTTAAAATTTGTTTCTGTATGTTCTGTGTGCCTGATCTGAGCCTCATTGCTTCAGAACCTATATCATAAAAGTGAGTGCCTTTTACATCTTGTTATTTTACTTTTAAGCGTGTGAAGAGCTTATTAAAGCTGACCTTTTTAACTGGAATCATGCTGCATCATTCTCTCTATGTTCGACATCATTTTTTGCAATGTCCCTGTTTACTTATACAATCAGGTTTTTCAGACTTTATAAGCACATGACCATTAGCAATGTGCCTCTTGCCAGCTGCTATTCATGATGAAATAAAACTGTTCTGGTTGTACTGCTGCTAATCCTTAGCACCTGTTGTTGAAAAGCATGATAACCAGCAACTTCTTGGTCTGGTTCTTTTAATTCATTTTAATATCTAAAATTCTCATGCAATTTAATAAGTTTTAAGATGATCATTGTGGATATTGAAAAAAAACACTTTTTTTTCTCTTTCTTTTTCTTTTTTATTTTGTGCATTTCCTAGTTAAAGCTAAATAGCGACTAATTTGCCTTCATCAATTGCTGATGAAGCCGGCTTTGTGCGCTGATCTCTCTTTCCAACCTGTGCAGGTCTCATGCGTATGCCTCGATCCGGATATGCTCAGATTGGATTGAATGTGCTATTCTTGGCAGATTGCCATTAAATTGAATAGTGCCAGATTCATATGACTTTCATCATTTCTGGGTTATCATTCGAGACTTGGGTTTCTCTTGACAATAGTGATGTTTCCTGTAATCTGCATAGCAAATCATTCTTTGCAACTTGTGCCACCACTCTAATTTATTGCTTCATTTGACACTAACACTTGGTAATGTTCATGTCTCCTATCATGTTGGATTCCATGTCAGATTGAAATAGTTTCTCAAGTATCATAAATCTCTACTGTATTACTCCAGTAAATTTATGATTATAGTCACAAGCAACCACATTGACTTCCATTTGTCTACAGAGTTCTAAATACCGTTGGCATGATCCATACCTGATGGTATATACCCGTCGACGGCATGGGGATACATGGACTAGCTGTTTTCAGATGGTTTAGGACTAACCTCACTCTCTCTCTCTCTCTGTCTGATTAATTACTTACCTTTTCTTGTATGAAACAATGACGGCTTATCAAACATGTTGGTGCCATATGATTCACAGCTCATCTTTCCTGTAACCTTTGCCATAGGATCATGAAGAACAGAGTCCAACTCTGACCTCAGTAGACAAGTTGAGTTACTGCAGACTTCTTTTATCCATTGGCAGGCATCTTATGGATGATGCACACCACTCAAAGTTGCTTTATGACTCCTCAAAGAAGCATGCTGCCACAAAGGCGGCCTTAACAGGCTGCAACTTCACCGGTTTGAGTCGTGAGAGATAGCAGAAGCCATCCTCTAATTCCACCAATCTTCTGTAAACTACTTCGTGATGTGAAAAAGGTGCACACAACTTTCAGAGAGAGAATACTGGTGGCATCATTGGCAGCAGCCATAGAAGTACTTGAAGCAAATCTTAAGTAGTAGTGGTAGTGTTACCTCAAGTAGCAGTATCATTTGTTATGGTCTTGGAGTAATCATATATTCCATGATTTAGATGTGTTCTATGATGCTGTATCGGTAAAACACTGATGAGGTTCAACTTCTAACATCTGATGTCCAATTCATTTCATTCCTACTTCTCCGACTGACCTTATGCAAATAATATGCATTCTTAGATTACATAAATGCAAAATGAGAATCTGTATGATTGATTTTGACCATTTGGCACTGAAGTCAGAGTCCACCCAACTCAAGGGGATGATCATTAAACAAGGATGATCCTCATCAGCAGGCATCATTACTTGGGTAAACCCTTTGAGCATGCCTAGAGGATTAATCATGAGACTTCAACTGGCAGATTAACAATAGAAAATTGTTTCTAACATTTCCTTGTTTCCTGCAATCTCTGATCCTATTTATAGAACAATGTCCAGGCAAAGCTGCAGCAGCACCTAAAATTGTATTCATACATACTGTATCAGTATGACTTCCATCCATCAGGTCCTTTCTATTTGTCAAAAAGAGAACACCACCTACAACGAAAGCAAACTCAACTTGCCTAATTCATAGATATTTTTTTCTTCATCAAAAGGTAATCACTCTCTCTCTCTTTTTGTGAAGCCAACCTTCTCTTGTCCTCCTGCAAAGTCTGGTGTGCATGAATTTAATTTTCTGGATCCCTTCCCATCATCATTACCCAAGGTTGCTTCCATGGAATGTGAGCATCACTTCCTTTATCTTAACCTAATTGCTTTGTTTAAAGGCCTTAAAGCAAACCCATTTGCCAGTCCATGTGTAGGGTAGCAAGATACTATAATTGCAAAGATAAGATTGAAACCTCAGAAAAAGCATGTAGAGAGGGTTGACACAGACTCAGAGGATGCACAAACAGAGGTCAAGATGCAAAAGAGACCTCCAAATATAAATTAGATGTCAAAAGTTGATGGCTGAAGTCCGAACAATCCTATCTTTCCAATCCCCAAAACACCTCATTGGCTACGAGTATTCCTGAGAGGAGAACACAGGAATCCACAAGTCTCAAGATACACAGCACAAAGATGAGTTGTGAATGCTACTGATATGATGACGATACCAAGAGGAAACAAAACAAGTGTGTTGCATGAGAGGCAATCTCAGATCAGAGGATTGTGCTGAGAGGAAATAGCCCACGGTGAGGGAGTGCTTAAAGCAGCAGCAGCAGTAGTCACAATGAGCATCAGATTCCAATGTTGGGTGGGAGAGGAATCTTGAGGATGGATAGGAAAAGAAGAAAAAAGTGGATCTTTGTCTTTATTTTACTGATTTGCTACCTAACTCTGCACATTGTTCTCTCTAGAATCAGATCAGCCAAAGTGTCTTTACAAGATCTACTTATTTTACTGATTTGTTACTTAACTCTACGCATTGTTCTCGCCCCAATTTCTCCAGAATCATCAGATCAGGTAAAGTGTCTTTACAAGATCTAGTTAGTCCTACGATTCCACCCACAACATATCACCATTTTTGCAATGGTTTCTCTTTCTTCTTAGAATTCCTAGTTGCAAAAACAAAAGTTTAGTTAGATGATCTGATACGACAATCGAGATAAATCGATGATGAGTTACTCGAATAGAATTCTGAAGCTAATACGAATCCCTTTGTCCGAAAAGAATTCTTTTTGTCGGATAAAAAGAAGGATCAACAGGAGGAATTCATTGGACTATAGTTTCCAATTAATTCATGCAGCAATTAACTTTCCTCGAGAAAGGAAACATTACGCGTCAGGTACGATATTATCATTTGTTTAGTACAAATCGCCGCTTGAGCCGTTCCTTCTTTATCTTTGGCTTAGCAGCGTCGACAGGACCAACAGCATCACGACACCCATGGCCACAAATCAGGCTTAAAACGAGCACCGATGTCTTCTTCTTCTTCTTCTTCTTCTCCCTACACATACAACAGGAAGAGTCACTGAATCGTCTCAACTCTTGTTTAAGACCAGTAGGTGCTGGTGTCGTCAGTGCAAAAACGTAGTCAACGTGGCCGAAAGGTTTCAGCCGTAGCATTTGTTTTGTAGGGTTTGCTTTTTGGATGACAAGCTTCAGCTCTTCTTCTTCCCCTTGCTGTAAAAGCTGGAGGAGTAGTGTTCGATTGGTGTCGGTCATCCCTACATAAAGTTGAACTCGATCATTGACGCATCCTTTCACTCACCTGAAGGTCGTGGCCCTCGATCTTGCACTGTTGTCTCCTGCCACCTTTCTCCTTGTTTAAGAGCACATCCAGCCGACCACCCCTCGTGACATCTCTCCTCCCTCCGTCACCAAACGGATGCTCCTTCTCACTGAAAGATATGGCTCCTTTGCTCTTTAGAGAGATCAAAGCTGCGGGCTTCTCCTGTGCGTCTCCTTCTTCTGCGGCCGTTTGCTCGACCATACACCAGAGATCTATAGTTCAGCCTGTGACTGGAAGAGCCATCGATCGCCACACGCCCCACCTGAGAGACCCACAGAGAACCAGGTCTCAGTTCACCTCCAAGCCGCGAAGCCATAACCCGAAGGCCGGCAGGAAAAGCTCCGCGAAGCAAGCTGACCTTGTCAACCCCGCCGACTCCTCCCGGTGTCTCCTGAGCTCATCCAGATTCAGACTTGACGACGCCGCCTTCTACGATATATTCCCTGGCCCTCAGCCGATTCCGCCGCCGTCTCCGTTCCCGATCGAAACGCTGAGGTCGCAGCAGTGCGTGAGAAGCTGTAGCGAACGAGCCGTTCGTAGGCCATCTTCTTCTACCAGAACACAGGATCAGGTACCGCGTCAAACTCTCTTCCTCGTTTCCCATTGCTGGAAGAGGAGCGCCTGACTTCGTCACTCTTCAGGTTGTCGTCCTGAGAGTGTCCTTGCACTGCAAGGGTTGTGAAGGGAAGGTGAGGAGGCACATAGCCAAGATGCAAGGTGAGATCATCTGGTCTTGTCATGATCATACTCGGATAACATGTAGCTGAAGAAAGCAGGGATTGCTCGAGCAGGGGTTTCATCCTTCAGCGTGGACTTGGCGACGAAGAAGGTGACGGTGGTGGGGGACGTGACGCCTCTGGGCGTGCTCAACAGCATCTCCAAGGTGAAGCATGCGCAGTTCTGGCAGTCGCCTCCCCGGGCATCGGCATCATTCTAATGCCATGCAGCAGATCCATCATCTCTTCTAGGCTTGGGTGAACACGAGCATCACCATGTCACATCTCCTGCCTGCAACTTAGTACTGTAGCTTCTGCTGTCCAAGGAGAAAACTTGCCGGAGTATGGCTTTGTTTAGTGTACTCGTCGAACTATGTCAAGCTGTGTACTGCAATCTTGCTGTAACTTATGGTGCTCGATATGATTAGTGCCGGTGGTACATAACACCATGCGAACGACTACAGTCGAACATAAAGCATTGTGTATGTCGTGAACCATGGATGGACGACAGCTTCATCGAAAGGACCGCAGGATCGAGGAAGACTCGAGAGTAATTGGAGATGAAGTAAAAAACCATGGGTGATATGATGAATAAGAGCATCATCACATGTATCAGTCGGCAGGCATGCACTCGATCTGTGGCAATTATTGCTTCATTCCCTTTCTTTCCTTTCAGAAACAAAGTTAGAGGTGATATGATGAATATTTTCGTGGAACCTATTCGAACTCGACGCTTGGATCATATTTCTTTGACTATATTAATTAAGTTCATAGCGAAAAACATCATCCAGTAGATAAGATTTTTTTAACTATACGAAGAAATCTTTTTGATTTATTGAGAAAAATCCTTCCTCCTAATTTATATAAACAAAAACATATCTTCTGTCGGAATTCGAAATCATTTAGTCAAGACGTCCGTATTATAGATAGAGGTCTCTTTAGATACGAAAAGAATTCTTTGACTCTGTCAATCGTATTCGAACCGTCTTGATACTTAACTTTCATATAGGATCGAAGACATCTCGCGCAGCATTCTCACAAAACAAGTTTTGTATGAAATACTATGATCGAGAATAAATCTTCTTAGCGACATAGTTCAAACAAAGCAGATAAAGATCGAAACAATTTCAACATATTTTTGACAGTGACTTCAGAAGATTGAGAAGTCTGCTTGAGAACCAAAAAAAAAAAGAAATAACCTCGTATGTGTCGGTGTTACAGCAAACTGTTCCCACCAAGAAGGTCTCATTGGAATCCATGAGAGACCAACCAACCAACCAACAGGGAGACCGCAATCAAAGCAGCAGCACTGCAGCCGGGATGCAAGAGCTCAGTGCCCAATGCTCGACAGCAGGAACGACAACTTGAAAGGATCAGCACCATATAAATAAATACAGAAAGATAGAAAGAAGACTCAACGTTCTAGGCTGAAGAGGCTGACATGAAACCCTAATGGTCCCTTGACATGAACTATGTCCTAAAATATGCTCGTCTTCCCCATTGTTGTAGTGTGGTCTTCAGACAAGAATTCTTTGACCTCTACAGTAACATTCGTGCTCTTCTTCCCATGTCCTTCGTGTTTGATCAAATGCTAGCTTTCTGTCTCCGACATACGGGCCATGGGTTACAGATTAAAGATGGCTCGCTTCGTTCTTTTCTCTTCTTCCATTCGTTCAAATTTGAATTGAACTCTGGAATAGAGAAAAAACAACAACCAATGCCGAGAACAATGATCATGGTGCCAAAATTCTTTTAACGTGAAGTCTGATAAAAGATCATAGTATAAATAAATATAGAATGATGATTTTATATATTTTATTCCTTAATCAATAAATAATTTGAAGATCAATTATAAATTTAAGTGCATAATTTGAACATACGATTAAGAAAAATCTTTCCCTTTTATCGTATCAGAGCCCTCTTAGTTTAAAGAAAAAACTTTCTTTTCTTCCTTCTCTTATTTTTTTTGCATTGGAACTCTCTAATCTACCCAACAATCTCCCTGCCATCTGCTATCGCTATAATAATAATCTCTTTCCTTGGTTATCTTGACCAGCATTGGAATTCCTCGAGGGAGCCTCCTCCGTAGCCTTTCGCCTCTTTCTTTCTTATCTTTTTGACCTCATCCATCGTTCCCTCTCCAACCACCACTTGTGGTTGAAGTTCATCGACCACTCTGCCTTCTTCCACCTAGATTTCTTCACGAGCGTTGCTTCCCGCTTCCGCAAGAACCTCGCCTACTTCCATGCCAACTAAGTGACTATCATCGCAACCATCCTCACATCTCCACAATCGGTCATCAACCTTCTCATCGGCCACGAACGTCATTATCGATTTCATTAGTATCCTTAAATGCCTCCTTCGACACAAATCTCAAATTTGTGGATCGTTAGTTAAACTTCCCTCGACGCCTCCTTCAGTCAATTGTCTACCAAATACTCCTCTATTCATGCCCCTTGCATCTGGCTATCACCGTCGGCGCTCAACAACCTCATTCACATAGTACTAGCGACTCCTCTTCGATAATGAATCACATCATTCAATGGATAGTTTAGCATTCAATCTCCTCTCCATATCGTAAAACACTAGCTATCGTCGTTGATTACTTTGCTCGACGGTCTTTATTCTAATTTACAATATACATCTTAGATCTATAATTTTCTCTTTTACGACTCCATCATTGTTACTGCCCTTATTGCCATTGTCAAAAGAAGGGCCTTCTCTAGATCTCCTTGAATAATAGATCAAATCTCCACTGTATGCCAGATCATTGATAGGACCCTAACAGGGTTGAGTCCTACTCAACCAAGAAGCAGCTAATAAAATACTGTGAGATTGTAATAAACCCCACCTAGCCACCTCTATCCTATAAAGAAGAGTGGCTAGGGTTTATATTTGGGTCTTTGGGCTTCCTAGCTGCCGCCCTCTTTTACTGGGTTGGTTGGTTAGGGTTAAGGGCAAAAGGTGTAACTCATTTAGGAAGCAGTCCCTAGGGCTAGGGTCTGGAGCCCTATATAAGCATATAGCTTCCATCTATTTGGGAATGAGATATATCTACAATTGCAATCATTTGACCGACTTCTAGGAAGGTGAAACCCCTATAGTGTTCGAAGGAGTGATCTCGCTCAAAGATCAATCTACATAGAATTCTTCTAGAGTTCTATCATCTGGTGTTAGAGCAGCGACCTTGCTGCTTTTGCTACCACCTCTACCGCCCACCACCAGCCAAGCAATTCCCATAATTGCTCTTGACGTTTCCATCTCCACTGTCATCTTCTACCGTAGATCTACTCAATCTACTACCATCACCTCCAATTACATCAGAGATCTGGTATTCTCCTATCATCAATACCTTTTGCTATTATAATTTTCTATTCAAAATACCAAGAAGAAGTATTTTTATCTATCCCATACTGCAAACTCCTTTCGTCGTAAAAGTTATCATCTTTGCAAATAAAGGATTACTGTAGAAAATTTCAACCGTATATTGTTGCTTTTAAATGATCTATTTGCTTTCCTTCTTGAATGAAATTTTTATACGCTTCATAGATCATCTTGTCTTCCATCTAAGATTGATTTATTGAGGAATTCATCTCTAAAAATATTCTTATGTTGCTATAAATTTTTGTCGTAAATCGTTGGAATTTTTCGACGAGAATTTTACTATCGCAACTTGCACCAATCTCCTTACTGTTATACTGTCAAAATTTTCTTGATTAAATTTGTCATTATTATGGTTTCCTCCTCAAATCTCTCGATTTTTGCTAGAAATTTCATCGAGAACCAGTTTTTCTTCAATGACAATCCTGCTTATACAAGATAATACCTATCTGCAGCAACTTCCACTGATGTCTATCAAACCTTTGCTGTCATCTACCACAGATCTAAAACTTTTTTCCTAACCTTCATCCACTACCATCATAGCCCTAAAATTTCAACAAACCACACTCTCAAACTACACCCAAAATAACCAAAAAATAAGCCTAAAACTACAGCCTACATCTACCAATCCACCAACCCTTTCGACCACCACTTCTCTCAACTGATACATGCCTTTAACCCGATAACAAAAGAGAGATATTAATATTACAGATTTGGAGGCATATACTATTGTATCTGAGGAGACAATCGATGCTAAATTCGAAGCCTTCGAGACACGAATGAAGGATAAGATTCAGACTCTCTTTACCGAACTCAGTTTGGGTCGACCACCAAGCTCAAAAAAATCACATCAAGGGGAGAGCTCTGTCCAATCATACCAAGCCCGAAGAGATGACTTCCAAGAGAGGGGAGGCTCTATAATCGATCCCCACTATCCACGCATAAGGGTGGACTTCCCTAGATGGGAAGAAGGAGACTCGATTGATTGGATCTCACGCGTAGAGCGATATTTTCAGTACCACAAAACCATAGACGCATCTATAGTGGAAATTAAAGCTATACATCTTGAAGGGGATGCCATACAGTGGTTTGACTAGTTCAAACACACTTATGGAGTCCTCTCATGGCGACAATTCAAAGAAGGACTATTGATTCGCTTCGGACCAACCGATTACGAGAACATTGACGGACAACTAGCAAAGATCCGAAAAATCTCTACTATTCAAGAGTACCAAAACAGGTTTGAAATGTTACATAATCAAACTCGTGATTGGTCTGAAAAATAACTATTGAGGACCTTCATTAAGGGCTTGAAGCCGGAGATTTAGGGAGAAGTTAAAGCGCGACAACTGTACACACTTATGACAGCCATCTCTTTCGCACGACTTCAAGAGGAGCGATTGAACCATGAAGCCCGAAGGACTATGGTCATTCCCCGACCAGAAATATTGAAGCCCTCAGCCCCCCCTATTGTTAATTGAACCCCTGCACCAAAAAGGTTTACAAGAGAAGAGCTTCGAGAGTGATCTGCGAATGGGTTATATTGGCATTACGACGAGCCATGGAGCCACGAGCATCGCTGTAAAAAAAGGAGACTTCTTATGATTGAACTAGTAGAAGAAGAGGTTATTGAACATCTAGAAGAGAACCTTGAATATGAAGAAGAAGATACGGAAGAAGAGCCACAACCGACTGATTTTATAGTACATGCGCTAGTTGGCTACTCAAACCCGCAAACGATGAAAATTTGAGGCCTTCTCAAACAATAACTGATCACTGTTCTCATTGACATGGGCAACACTAATAATTTCTTAAATAGTAAGGTTGCTTCTCGGATGGCGCTCCATATCAAAGGTTGCAGCAAGTTCAATGTAAAGGTCACCGACGGTAGAATCCTAAAGTGTGACCAAAGATGCCCGCAAGTGAAACTATTACTATAAGACTGTGCTTAGTATAGAATGGCTTACTTCGCTAGGTGATGTCTCTTGGAACTTTCAAGTTAATTATGAAATTCTATTGCAAAGGCAAACAGATCATCCTACGCGAGAAGCGCGGAAGCAACG